TCCTGAATCTCTCCATTGACCTCCTCCCGTAGATGGAGCGGCAGCTGACGAGGTCCATAACGTCGAAAGTCTTCTGACTAACGGGGAATTTCGTTTTCGGTCCACGGGCAGAAGTTGAACGGATCGTCGTCGCCCGTGAACTGTTTGGAATATTCCTCGACCACGGACCGTACTGACGGTACGCTACAAGGCGGAAGTTTTTAGACACAGCCCACTCACTGCAGCGCCTGGGTAACCTTCAAGCTCGATTGCGCCACAGTTTGTCACCAGCTTGCCCTGCTTTAGGTTGATCACTGTATCTGTGCCCTTGAGACACTCTGCCCCCAATATTGTTTGTTCTACGTCTGGGCTGATCTGGAACGCGTACCGCACGGACTTGTCGCCTGGGCGTATCGAGTGCATTGACAATCCGTCAATCTTCAGTCGATATCCACCAACAGCTCTCACGGCTATCGCGCACGATCTGCGTTCAGCTTGGTTCCTTCTTCGCCTCAGCGATACGTCTACTCCTGTATCAGTCAAGTATAACCCCTTCTTCTCGACAATGGCCTGTATGGTCGCTTTTTAGTGCACTAATAGCAACCCACCCCAGAAAACGGCACTCTAAAGTTTTATTTTGTGCAAGTGATTGGGTAAGGGGACACTGATTCTTCCAGTAGCCAGACTTGCCACACATATAGCAACGGCTGGCTCGAGCGTGCCTGCGCGATTCCGTCTTCACGGCTGCAAGCTGTTTGGCGAATTTGTCCACTCTGGTCTGCAATCCATTCACTGTTGAACGATCCTTGTTCTTCTGCGACTGGAACGTGGCCAGTGGTACCTCGGGCAATTCCTGGGCCAGACACACCAGCTCCTCCACACTCAGATGTCTAGTTGCTTGCGCAAACCGCAATTGGACACCAAGCGCCAGCTGCACACCTTTGAGAAACTGGTCCGCTGGCAACTGGTGTCGCGACACTCCGTCCAGGCCCGGCAAAGCGCGGTCCAACGACTGCTGCAGGCCGGCGAAGAATACGGTCGGGTGAGATCCAGGTGCCGTCCTGGCCGTCTTGAACCGCCTCATAGCATCCTGGCGGTCGGCCAGCGTGTCGAATTCCGCTGCAAGCACTTTCGTCGTGGCAGCCCAGTCCACCTTCCTGAGGCCTCTTCTGGCCTGATCCAAGGCCACACTCGCCCGGCTCCTGATGTGGTTCTACAGCGCCGCCAAATTACACCGGTCTGCCTCCAGTCCGGTGGCCACCGAAACCTCCTTAAAATCCTACAAGAGTGGCGGAACATCCGCATTCGCAAAGAGTTGCGGCCACGGAATCTTCATCCTTATCCTGATCGCAGCACCAAATGGAAGGAAGAAGACCTTCGCTGAGGAGTTAATTATTAGAAAATGCCAACCGACCAGTTACAGACTATTGGACAAGGAAGCAAAATTCTCATGTGTATCTTATTCGCGAAAAATGAACATCCATATTCTCTTATACGTGTCTTCCTTAACTTTCCTTGATATTCATTGACTTTTGCGTCAAATCCAACCAAATGCTAGAATGCGACTTCACCAATTCCGCAATATATCACCCTTTTTGAGGGACAGAAAGCAAATTTGCAAGAAAGAAACGTAATATTCGCATGCCTCCTCCATCAGTATTATCGCCGGTACACCTATAGTTTGCTGGGAAAACTCGGTCGACTACTGACTTTGCTAGTCTTGAGGTCGATCAGGTAGGCTTAGGTGTCCTGTCAGGTAACCGTACTGTGATCCTCGAACACGGTGATCAATAAAGCATGTGGTGGTATATACTACTGGTGTTTTATGATCGTATAGCATATGAGGAACGTCGGAGAAAGTCCATGAGGATGTTTGGCAATGTTTACTTCTCAAAACTTGTGTGAAGATGAGATATTTGCTTTTGTAGCTCATGGTTTGTAACCACTTGATTCGCGTTTGCTAATGAATAACTTCGCAGCGCCGAGCTCTCTTCTCTTTTTATTAATAATTTTTTCATAATAGAAATGTACTTCACTAGCGTATGAATAAAAACCCGCTTTCCAGTTAATACCGGAATACGTGTCCAAAGTAAGTGATGAAAAATTTGGGAAGCACAACATTTAAATGATTATTCACCTTTTCAGCTCACACACGGAGGTTGTATTTCTATTCCTCAGAATAAAGCAACTGAGCTGACAAGCTGATTTATTAAGTGGCTGAGTTATTAGTGGCATTAAAATGACTCTAACCATAATAATTTTTCAATACTACTACCATATATGTAGTACTAGAATACCTCATATCTCTGCATGGTGTACTCTCTCCATGTAGTCTAGATTTTATCCATTGAGTCAGATGTTCAATGTATTTTGGGGCGTACGCGCATCCAAAACAATGTACGTGTATGAGGATCTCAAGAAAGCTTGTTCTGAGCCATATTTCTATGGAATGTACACATGTATATGTCTGATGGCATAAGAATTATCAACAGTAACCCATATGGATGTGTTATCGGGAAAAATGTATAAACTCTTAGCCTCTGTTGCGTTACATAAGCCGCCAATCAGACGAAGACGATTTAGCGTTTGCACTAGCATCTGAGGCAGTCATAAAAGCTTCTACGCTCTCCTTAATCCACAAAGAAAATGGAGTAAGATTGACAAATCCAGATGCGCAAAGTTCGAAATAGTGGGTAAGAAAGTAATGAAGCTTCGTTTATTAATGATGGATGAAGTCCGTCAAAACTGAATGACGTCAAAAATTCTCATGTTTGGTCCTATTTTAAAAACTGCAGTTGAGAAGGCGCACGATGATATGTGGAAGAACATATCGGGATTGATTTTGGCGAAATGTACTCATTTGCGTGCCAGTTTGTTTTTGACGGCAGACTCACCTGAAATCCAATTGAATCTTTCGTTTGTGATGCTTTTAAACGACTGATTGTGGTGAAATATCGTACAGACGCAAAACGATATTCATTAGATTTTTGAAATCCTTTCGACAGCCTACGACCGGTTTCGCTCCTCCGGGGGCTGATTGGATAGGCGCAGTCCTTGAGCTTTTTTCGACTATAGTTTCTACCTGAACTCAAACCGCTCGAAATCCAGGAGAGACACCCAGTTGCGTAGCAATTTGTATTGACAACAGACCAACTTAATACCCGGCTGAATCCCACGTTAATTATCTTTGTTGCACTGAGCACTGTGCTTCAGCAGTATTTTAGTGTTC